ATGGGTGTATCTCCAACAGGGGACATCAAGAAGCCCGCACCCGTCTGCATAAAGCCGCTCCAATCATCATCTTTGGACTCAGTCTTTGCCAGAGCATCATCCTGAAAAGAAGTCTCCAGCTGCACAAAAATCTGAATCATTGCTCCATGTGAACGGCAATGTGCAGCGTTGGTCCCAATTCTAGGTCTTCGACCCTGATGTCCTTCAAAAATTCGATGGAGCTCTCTCCAGTTCTGATGACTGCAGAACTGGACAGCAAAATATGAATAGCTTTCATGACCTCCGTCTGTCAGAACACGCTGCAAAAGATTGACCCATGCGGCAGCATTCACCTTGTCATAGACGATGACATAAAGGTCAACAGCACTGCTCGTGAGATGCGTTGGTCGTGGTCGGATAGTCGTATATGAGCACTCACCATGTGGACATCTGTCACACCAAATCTCATTGAGGAACGCGCCAAGATTGCCGAAATGATCAGAGTTGACAAGACGGAATCTCCATTCGGTTCCTGAGTCAGGAAAAACTTCAGCAAACCATGATACAACTCCAATGGATCTCATACAGAAAGGGTATGGTACCACATCAAGGCGCTCTGTCCCAAATGAATGCTCACATTCAGAAAGGAAAGAAGTCGTCTGGACAAAGGAAATGCCATCCGAAGGGATATCGAAGGACCCATCTAAGCCAGACTGTGCAGAAATATCCGAAATCGAAGTATAGTTCCCAGTGGGTAGAGAGATGTCATTTGTAGAGCTTCCCTCATCAAAACTTGGGCCAACCGAATTATCAGCTCGACAGGGAGTATGGTATCTCTCTGGAGCAGAGAGAAAACTGTCCTCAGCACATGTGGTCTTCTGCCAAACAGGACTCCAATTCCTTGATCGATCGGGCCTGTCACAAAAAGTGCCAAAGGAGAGCCTCTCTCGATAGCCTTCTGATCCAGTAGGATCGGACCGCCGGCATCGCCCACAAGGCTGAGAGGCAATGCTGGCTTCACTTCTGGATGCATAAAAGCGCTCCTCTTCAAGATTGTCAATGGTAGGAGCATATTCATGGCTTCGGTGAATCATGGTCGCAACAGTGGCACCTTCGCAGAAGGCAACATTGAGCAGCAAAAGAATCCCCGTCCAGCGTATTCGTATTTGCCGGTTCAGCTTGTGACTCGCATTCCTTCTCATTCCTCCAATCCTTCGTGCAGGAAAAGGGAAACGTGGTATATTCTCTTCCCTCCAACGCAAGAGCACAGAGAAGAACCCGCCACAGAGAAGGCTACCCTGAACCAACTGGAGGTGTTGTAGGATATGCACACCACAAAACACCTCTTCACATCTGTCAGCCACGCTTTCAAGAAGGAGGAGGTCAAAGACAAAGGAGATCCCAAGTAGAATAAACATCCATCTCCAAACCCCGAAAGCTGGCCAGTAATAGAGCCTGTGGTTCCTCAGGAACCACAAATTCAAAAAGGCCTCCGAACATTCATAAAGGCCTCCAACAAGGCAACAAGCCCACACCGGAACCATAAATAGTGTGCAGAGGAGGATTGGCAGAATGTGAGGAAAAGGATTTCGTCGGACTCCAAGTCCAACAAAAGCTTGCCACCAATCAAACAAAATTTCCATAGCCGCACACCTAGGTTCCTCGGCAACTCCCCGAGTTGAACAACAGCTCATATCTCCCCTCAGAGCTGCAAAAGACCTTTCAGTATAACACTTGGCTTCGCAATATATACTGAGAAAGTCCCCATCACCATATAGCCATGCCACGCCCAATCCGCCCAACAAATCAAAGAAGCAGTCCCAATCATGATGCCTTGAGAAGATCAAATGCTTCTCACCCCTCATCAGATGCCAGGAGCGCTCCACAAGAAAAAGCTGACAGAACGGGCCATTCATATCTACTGAAATGCCTAGGACAGTGAGCCAAGATCGGGTCCAGCTCCTGTCCTCTGCTCTGGCGTCTTGAAGACACTCTTCCTCACAGATAACGTCGGTGATGTCGATAGGAGAGTCGGTCTCTTGGCCTTCTTTGGCTCTGCAGCTTTGCCATTCCGGTGTCCCGTTCCACCAAAAGGCAGCAATGGGTCCATCGGTCTGAATGGTCTTGTTGCTGTCGGCTCCTCTACCTGTAAATCTGTCAAAGGCAACGGCACAGATTTCTCTGTTCCACTGGCGCTGCCTCTGGCCTGCTTCTCCTGTTCCATCACATACGCCATGAGGTATTGGATCTCTGATCGAGTCTGGTATCTTTCCGGCTCTCCCTCCCGCAGCTGAATGAACTGCATCTGTATCTCCTCGGGGAGACCTGAAAGAAAGGCCTTGATCTCTGCCTCGTCTACAACTTCCCCGGCTGTGTCCACAGCTTCTTCGGGCCAGACCGGTTCTGCATCCTGATCCTCTCCGCTGCGTCGTGCTGGTGACCTCGATCTGTCCTCTTTCTTGGTCTCCACCTGCTTGGGGCCATTTCTTTTGATCTCCTCCGCAATAGTGCCTCTTGCGTGCACCCTTTGTTGAGGTGACCATTCCGGCATGGGACCCATTGGTGCCAAACTCTGGAAGCAGGACATGATGGTCTGAAGTTGATGAGACATTTGCTCCATCATCATGCCATTCTTCTTGTCGAGCTGCGTAGTATAGGCTGCCACTTCTCTCAGATCGGCTTTCAAACCTGAGATCTCCTTGTGCAACCGTTTGTTCTCTTCTCGGATCCCAGCATCGTCCTCTTCGTCTGTGTCGACCTGAATGGGCTCGATTCCGTCTCTTTGCCTCTCTAAGCTCTTGATCTCCGCCGAGATCTCTGCAAGCTCTGTTGAATGTCGCTTTTCCTCGCTTCGAATACCTGTCTCCACTGTCTCTTTCCAAGATTGAAAATTCTTGGATTTCTTGTCCAGTGAGTCCTTGGCCTTCTCGAGCTTGGTGAGTTGCTTTCTCTCCTCGTTCAACTCTTTCTGACGAAGTCGTAGCTGCTCTCTGGGGTCGATGCGGACCAACTCTTTGACATCCTCCGGGATCTGCTCTTTCTCCTCGTCGGTGGGAGCCACCTTGTTCAGCAAGAAGCGCATAGCTTCCCGAAGCTTGCGATTCTCTGCCTGAATTTGCGCTTCCTGTGAAGAGGACTGTGATGATCGCCAGGATGAGCTTGAGGATTCGTCCAGGTCTACAGCTTTTCCATCGTAGCCTATGAGGACTGCATTCTTCTTTTTTCTCCTTGTTCTTCAGCTCGTCCTTCTTCCTGTTGCCCTTCTTTGAAGGGTACTCCCATGTCTGCCAGTTGGCCTCTTTTTTCCATGACATCTGTCTGGCAATCCAAGGCACTGTGTACACCGGTCGGGAGTGGTGTTTCTGTAGGAGGTGAAGGGAGTTCAAGAACCTGACCCGTTGTCCAGCTTTCAGCGATCGTTTGAACTGATGTTTCCGGACAAAGATCCTTGCTTTATGCCGTTGGTTCCTCTCCAATCGGTGCCAGCCAGGTGACTTTATGGCTCTAACCGCACCGAAAAAAGAAAAGCGTGCTTTCGCACTGGGGCTACCGAAATTCTGACTTGTCAGTCAGCCAGTCTTGAGCCCTAACTTAACACACACACAAACATTACAACCCAATCAGGAACAACCAAACTGTTTCATCATTCTTCTAGGTTGTTGGATGGTCTTTGAAGAACAACTCTTAAAGACCAAACCATAGTCATCTCACAGCTCAAAGTGGAACTCACTGAAGAACACATAAGAAAACTAAACTGTTTAATGGTCGAACTGAAGGCGCCAGGGGTTCATGATGCTTCACGATGGTTCATGACTTCTATGAAGAGACATGCTTTTGGGGATTCAAACCATGAGTGAAATCACTGGTGGTTTTGGCTGTATTCCTAGGGTCTAGATGAGCTGAATTTCCAAACCCTAGGGATCCAGTAGTACCTTCTCAGGTTCGGTACGACTGGACCTGACAATGGCACCTACAAAACAGTGTCTCCAATCACCCTCAGATGGTACTTGGATCCCTAGGGCTATACCCTCCACTTGCCCGAGCCCTCTGCGCAAATCCTGGTGCGCTGCTATGGCTGCAACTCCAAACCTGACGCAATGCTCGGCTTCTGCGGTGTTGGCCGCCGGAGAATTGCCCTCTCCGAGAGGATTCGGTCGCTGTCATGTCGTCCAGCCAACCTCGTCCCTTTTTCTGACTGCATCTCAGCTTCTATGCAATCTTTCTTTTTCAGCTCCAGGTCCAGCCTCATGATTTGTGCAGCCTGTGGTGAAGCACGTGATGTCTCCTGCCAATGACTGGGATGAGTCTTCATCCCAATAGCTCGCAGCAATTGACGCGGCGCAAAGTCCCACAAAAGGTTTTGTCATGTTTTGTCATAGAGCTGCATTTTGACAGGACGCATTTCTCAACTGACTGCATGGCATCGAACTGATGCTTCTGATGGCATTGCCTTCCACAATGTCGGCAACGCTTTGTTTCACGCAGCCGGATTGGCCGATGGGCCGCCTGTCGCAGCCGCCTGTTCCATATATTCCAGCTTCTTGCCAAGCATCGACGGTTTGAGAAACTCAACTATAGTACCTATTCTTCCAAAACGTAGACGTACCTAAAAGCAGCCAACGTGCTTTGATAAAGTGGTACACATTTTCAGGTACTGGAGACTCCAGGTAAGCTTGGTGGACCTGGAAACTATAGGTTCTGGATACAGTACTGCTTGTTTCGCCCCTGGCACTTGGAGATATCGTGCACCAGCCACATGCTCTGGCTGGTCAGCATTTCTAAGAACTGTCAATGACTGCTTTTGGATTGTGTGTAATTCTGGAAGAAGCATCATGTACTGCTCCAAATCCAATTTGACAGCTCTGCCAGGACCTTGCAAGAGGTGCCACAAGGACAACCAGGGTCTGGTTGAGTACACCATTTCGGACAATCAAAAACACGTTCAGGTTGTGTTTTTCCCTTCGTGATTCCTCCTCGAGGACAGTCACCCTAAACCACCCTTTCACTTCCGGTCAAGAGACAGGAATCTTCGAATTGGGATTCGCACCTCGTTGCGAGTTGGGTGTCAACGAGAGGGAGGAGTGTCAAGGGAAGAGCGAAGACAGGATCAACCCATCTTCGCCCTGAAAACAGCCCTTTGAACCAAAGGCTGAGTATCTGAACGGGTCCATTAATTTTGTGATTCGGGATGGCCATATAGCTTTGCGCCGCAAATCATGACAGAATTCCACGGGTGAACTTTGCTATACGGAATTCCAATTCCCTCAACAGGTGGGTCCGTTGGACGGGTTCGCGTTGGTGGGTCCGAAGTGTCGCAGTGCCCTGCTTTTTGGTTTCGAGAAGGTCCGTATACGGATTCTTAGAGATGTGATACACAGACACTCCATCCCTTGGGATCCAAGTACCTTCTCAGCAGGTGATTGGAGACACCGCTATGTAGGTTTGGAGGGTCCAGTCGTACCTTCTGAGAAGGTAGTTGGATCCCTAGGGCATGTATATAATTCTATACACTCCCGAAAACTAACATAGACCCTGACTGTCTGGCCCCCTGGAAGAGTGTTTGCCTCTACCAACCAGTGGTTTTCAGGGTCTATGTTAGTCTTCCAGGGTGTATATTGGGGTGGTTTGAGAGGTCAATGTAGGCCTATTTAACAGACATGGAGTGCTTAAAATATGAAAGCATGCTGAGGTCGCTTCGACGATTTTGGGGATCCGTCTTTTCGGGACGGTCGATACCACGACATCCGCTGATCGATACCACGACCTGCAGTGCGGTTCTTCGCAACACATCTACCAAACCGATCGTATGGAAAATGGGACATACAAGCTATGTGGATCCCACAGACGAACAGATCGACTCACCATCTGAGGTACCGTGATGTGTTGTCTCCACTGAGACATGTAGGTGCCAGCCAGTCGGGTGCAGGATACCGAACCTGAGGTTCAGTAGACTAAATCCCTAATCTTTGGGTAGAGTCGTTTAGCCATGTACATGTTTGTTTGCCCCAGTGGCTGTGTGACGCCTGGGTGAACTCTTTCTCTGGGCGTGTTCTGTGGTGCGTACCTGATGGGGAACATATAGTGTCCTCCTGGATGAATGTACAAATGCTTCCAACCACCCAAATCAGAGGCCAGGACCAACGAAGCCAGAGCTAAACTGCTCACCAACACCTGAGCGTCTGAGACGAGTGGGTGTTTTCACTACCAGACTGGTACCGTGGAATCCTGAAGCCTTCGTTCAAGCGGAGAGAAAGACATCCAACATGGGGTTGGGAAGACGTAGACACCCCCTAGGCCCTTCTCCGGGAGGCAGGGAGCTCAGGCTTACGTGTGTCAGAGGGAATCGACGCATTTTCTTGAATACTTCGCTGAACTGTAAAGAGGAAGGAAAATCAGAGACTATGGTGACATCTCATTCAATGGCACTTGCCTATAGGAGCAAACCCCGCCGAGAAGTGCCAACGGAGCAGAGAGACATTCGCAACCTGACCTCTGTGCCTTAGAAGTAGGAGCTCCTCATCGCCTCCTCATCGCCTCTCTCAGCCCAGGAAGGTGGGGCATGAATGAACCCTCTCTGTAGCTGCAACCAATGGGTCCATACTGCAGATCGATCAGGCCACACTCCTGGTGCTTTGAGGGGTCTTTCTCCATTTGTTCTGCCAATCTGGAAGTCCCAAAGCAGGTCCTGTCGGGGTCCAGTCACCTCATCCCTCGCATCGATCGGAGGGCTTCAGCTGGACGACCTCGTCGAGTCGATGGAGGGAGCGATCTGGTCCACCCGGAGAAGTCATACATGCCTGCGGGCATGTGCATGTATAATATGTGAATGTACATGCCCTACGCAACCAAACCCTATAAATTTGTAGGGTCGATGGAAAAACCTAGGGTTTCTGAAGGAAACCCCAGGTTTTCCAAACCAGTAGTACAATACGGTTTTAGTACGGGTTAAATATGGGTTTAGTACGGATTAAATATGGGTTTAGCACGGTGTAGAAAAACAAGACCCGAGGTTTTAAGAACAAACCTGAGGTATTTTTGATTTCACAAGAATACCCGAGGTTCCGATTGAGACCCTACACATTTATAGGGTTTGGTTGCGTAGGGTGTATATATGTGCTGTCAAGTGTCAAGCTGTTTCTGTTGAATTCACGCGGATTTGCCTCAGGAACCGTGAAAACCCATCCGCAGAAGGGGGATTCACCCAGTTCGGGATGATAAAATCATCCTTTCAGCCAAAAAACGGCTTTAGCTTCAAAGCACATGAAGCAACCCCCACAAAAGGGTGATCCCCAGGACAACACCCCCATTCTTCGTGCTTTATCGGCGAAACACCCTCTGCCTTCCACGACAGGACAGCGACTGCATGTGCTTCCCAAGGGCCGATGTTCACCACATGCGCGTCGTAGGACACCCCAAGCTCCTGTGGACCGTTGTCCCGGTCACTCCGAGTCGTCCGGACACCCCCCACAGAAGCCCCAGAAGCCCCAGGGTGACGTGCGGTCCGGACCTGGATCGTCCACGATCTTGCGGAAGGGATGACTTGAAAAGCTGTTGGTAAGGTCGGTCTGGGGCGGAACATGGTCGGTTTTAGAGTCACGAAGAGGCATGGCATGTCGCACAGTTGGAAGATCCAGGGATGTGTGTACTCTATATATATAGAATCCTTGGACCCTCCAGTTTGCAAAGGCTTGGATCTTGCAAAAATAAGGCTCGTCTGCAAGTCTTCGCTTGCGCTTCCGCACCTATATGGGTTTGTATCTTATTTTATTGGGGGGGACCTCCCAACCAATGGATGTACTTCATCTGTGTTTGATTTTCTGAGAGGTCGAACCAAGGCGTGCTTGGTAATCCTGCTTCTAATGACGGGAGCCCGATACAGTCCATGAGTCGAACTTCACTCCCACATGGACTCAGAGTTCAGGGCCGTAGACCCGAATCCTTGGGTCCAGACGTCCAAACCCGAACCAACCAACAGAGGTTAAGTGACCTGAACTAGGACCCGTCACCAATAGGATAGTCTAGTTCGGGTTCTTCAACCTCTGCTGGAATCCGTTTGGAGGTCTGCCGGGAGGTCGGCCCTGGCCTGTTTGGGGGTTGGTCTACTCGGAGGAACGACACTTGCGCCCGACCGAGAAAGACGACGGGGAGAAGTGGGAGCCAACCACAGGGACCATCGCGCTCGGTGCAGTCCTCTAAGAGGATGCCGATTTTCCACCCATTGGGCGTGGCCAACGAGTACAGCCTTAGTCGGGGAAAGGTTCTGTGTATGGGGAAAGGATCGGCCTGATTCTGAGGGTGTGAGAGACTGTGATGGAATTGTTTGGCCACAAGAAGCAAACATGCTTTTTAAGTGTGGTGAGTTGCTTGGTTGGACTAAGCTCGAGGAAGATTATTGGTTTCTGGCGTGCAAACAACTATAAGATCGACTAAGCTGCCACCGCCAGCTTCGAGTAAGTCGTAAAAACCTCTTCAGGGTGCTGCCAGCACTTCCAAAGGAATGGTTGTCAATGGTTTTGAGTCCCATTTGGGGCCGTGGATGTGGGCACCCTGGGCACCTGCCAATACTGCCGAAGTGGTCAAGCTGAAAACGACGTCCAGTTCGACTTGGAAAAAGAATCATAAAGGAATTCCTTCTCGGGTCATCGACCAAGCTCAGTTTGGGCCCCAACACTCCAAGCTCAGTTTGGGCCTCACCTGGTTCCTCCAACTTCGTTCGGTCCGTGGTTTTAGTCTTTGCTCCGGACCCACACCAATCCCCTTGCAATTCCAAACGCATATTTTGGGACTGCAAATTGGCCTACTGGTGTTTTTTGGTGGTGAGGTGAATGTATTATACCTACACAGACGCGACCCTGGACCCTGCGTTCAGGGACCGGGGCCGTACCCGAATCCTACGGAGGGGTCCAGACCTTCTCTCCAAGCCCTATGGTTTTGAGGGACCAAGGCCTGTCTGGAGCATCTGGGTATATAGAATTCCTATACCAGGACCCTCCAAGGGGTGTCCAATGGACTACCCCACACTACCTATAGGCTTCCATTGGGCACCCCTTAGAGGGTCCTGGTATACTTACGATCCTTTTCGCACCGAACCGGTTCGGTATCTTTCTGGACCGCACCCTAGACCACCTAGTATGTCGCAGTCTCAGTATCTCCCTGCTCACTGTACCTCAGGTTCGGATGTGCAGTGGATCCCTATTTACCAACAGAGGTTGAAGAACCCTATAGCCCATTCCATATGTACCACTACAGGGTCCTAGTTCAGGTCTTTCAACCTCTGTTGGTACTTTCATGGATCCTTGGGGATGTGTAATGTGTTCCAGATTCTTCAAGTGGACCAAATGCCTTCACCGCTCGAGGGGTTCCAGTGGTTACCTTAAGGTGGCTTGACTCGTCCGAGCGGTCGACGCTTTTGGACGCCGGTCGCCCAGAGCAAACGCTCAAATGTTCCCTCTGGGGCTTCCTGAATGTCTCTTCAATGCAGAATACACACAGACTACAAGCTACCTGTTCTTTTGAAGGGTCATAGACGGGTCCTTGTATATAATACGGTGATTGAAAAGAAATCAAAGACTCGAGTTGATGACCGTTGTCATGTCCTCCGCTGCTAAATCAACGAGGCATCTGAAAGGAGCTGCCTTTACAATAATTCTGACCTTGCCTGACGTCTGTTTTCTTTTATGTTATTTGTTCTCTCTCTCTCTCTAGTTTGGCACCCCGCCCCCAAAGAAAAGAGCCTGTGGCAATTTGAAACCCTTTAGATGCTCAACATATCTGGGCTATTTCAAGGAAGCACCAAATGGCTGCGCAGCAGTCGCTGGGTATTGCTAGGAGATCTGTCTTAGACAGAGCCCTGCTTGAGTGCACAAGACACAACCCCCTAATGAGGAGTGTAGGGCCTTGTTCATCAGGCGTGAAGGATCTTGACCAAGCATGGCCAAATCCCTGCCCACGTCAGTGTTTCGACCAGCGCGAGGGCGCAAATGTGTTCTTTTTGGCTATGTTCCAAAGAAACTCCGGCACTCGCAGTAAAAAAACATATCTTCCAGGTAGAGGGGACAGTGGCCATGCTGGGTATACATGATCACTCCATTTAATATGTGTCGCTACTTCAAGTCACTCTTCTCCGGTCTCACCGCATGGCTGCGCGTTCCGCTGCGCGTTCATGGCATCGTCTGCCATCCCTTCGCCACACACGTCGCAGAAGAGGAGGTCGTTGGCACCAGGGCGGCCATGGCACTTGGGGCAGCGGCACCTCGGTCGGAGGACCCGAGGAGTCGGCTGGATTTCAACCGTGGATTTACAGTGGTTTCAGAGTAGATGGCACAGACCCCATGATGTCCTAGACAGATGGGGGTTTGTATAAAATGTATAAACTATACCTCAGAGAGGGGCCTGTGCCATCTACTTTCAATCCACTATATGTTGTTTTAATCCAACAAGACCAGGGTCATCCTGTCTGGGTGTCCTGGCAATAGACTACTCTATACTTACAGGCCTCCAGACAGGGCACCCAAACAGGAAGTGCTAGGTTTGATCCAACAAACAATGTTTATTCCGGCATTCGCAAGACGGGGTGCGATCCATGGAGGTTAGGGATGCCCAGAACATCCACTCACTGTATGGGACTAATCACCCCTCCTCTGTGACTCCTGGTGTAGAGATGTTTTGCCATGCAAAATCCAGGTCAACCGAACTCTTTTTCACGGACAAACATGAACAAAGAACCATGCGCTTGAAGATGTTGCACCGTATCTACGCACCAAATCCAGGTCTTCTCCGAAGTCTTTTCATGGTCGAACAGAAGGCGAACGGGTAAAGACTGGACACTGTCCCACCAACAGCACCTGCACACCGAAGGATTGCCATGTTTGCAAAATGTCTTCCCCAAACATACACACACACACACACACACCTTGCATGGCATCTTTGCCTACCTTACCAGTGATTTCAGGCATCCATGTGGGTAAACTATGGTAAACCTGCCAGTCCCAAACAGGTCGTGTCTGGTCTTTGTCACATGCCTATTCCCCCCCTCCATGACCAGCGTTCCACCGGAGACCCACTACTTCTCGTCTGAGACCGTCACCCGGGTGGATGGAGACTCGTTCCGGAGTCTGGTCGCCCAGCATGGATTCCATGGTGACCGAAGAACCGGCAGATTTTATGGATTTGAGGCTCCGACGAGCGGGTTTACTCAAGGGGTTGAGGCTCGAACCCACCACAATGGCCATGGCCATCCCCCAAACACCGCGGGGAGCGGAATCGACCACAAAAGCCGAGGTTTGCGGCTGCACAGCTCAGGGTCCCGTACTGCTCCAAGCCCAAAAAAAGTTGGTCAGTGTCTCTCCAAGCACCTTCTCAGTGGGTATGTGGATTCCAAGGCCAACTGCATCGCAAGGGGTCGCAGCCGAAAACGCAGGGACCACCGGACTTACAGTGCCAACTGTGCCAAGTTCGAATAGTTTTAGATGAAGTTCGGCATCAGTTTTCGGCACATGACTGGTAGAAATCCAGGACTTTGTACCATGTTCCCAGTGCCCAGGTACTTTTTTACCAACATGTCGTACCCAAATGTACCCAACCAGTTCGATCTCCTGGACCGGACCGAAGACCTACATGCGTCTCAGTGTCTCCCTCAGTGTATCCTCAGGTTCGGATGGAAGTGGATCTCTATACTTTCATGGATCCTTTGGACTCGATTCCTGATTCCAGGAACAAACCCAAACACGACCGGACTGCCAGTCCGGACTGCCGCCCCAGACAGACCCCCCTGGCAACAACCACCCCTGGCCGTTTTGAAGGCAGTCCGACATGGAAGTCCTAAACAAGTCGTGTCTCCCAGACACTCCATGTATGCCATATATGCCTACATTGACCCCTCAAACCACCCCAATGTAGGCATATATACCATACATGGAGCGTCTGGGTCTGGAGAGTCTGACACTTCGAATGCCTAGAACTCCACCAAGTCCGAGCTTTCCCGCCCAGGGCAGCCAACGCCGGACAGTCCGGTCAACCGGTCCGAGGCACGGCCCTCCGCACGCGTCGCAGTTGCGTTGGAGGCCACAAGTCTCGCAGGTCGTACGTAGGCCCAGGCCATGGCACTCCACACAACAGCAAGGGCCTGGCGAATTGTTGCCAACAGGTGTTTTTTGGGGGGGGTCAGGTGTGGAGGCGGAAGGGGTTTATTGATGGGTATTGTGTCATGTAACGTAACTCCGCTGGTTGTGGTATCGTGGTGAAGTTCTTCGTGAGAAGATGCAGGTGTCGAACCGATGTACAAAAAAAAAGAAACGATCTAGACTCACCCCCCACTAGCAGGGGCCCCACAAACCATCAAAAGTCCTGTTTTTTCCTGTCTTTTCCTAGCAAAACAACATAAGTTTTGTGTGCAAAACAACACCTTTATGTTTCATGGGATGTACATGGGCCGCTGGTAAAATGTACATGGGTCAAGCCATGAGATGGGCCCCTTCAGAAACGGCCACTCCACGGCCTCAGCCTCGACCGGGCCACTCGTCAGCTTCGGGAGGAAAAGCAAATAAACGATGTATACCTTGGAATTCCAACAACCAATTGGTTTAATATTGGTTAATGGTCCTGAGTCCTAAGAACCATTAATTTTTACCAAGGGGGTTGAGACTATTCGTTTGATGGCCTTTGAAGGCTATACCAGCATCCTCACTGCCAGGTCACCAATTGAGACCAGTTAAGGCCCTTCCCAACCCTGTGAAGGCCTGTGAAGGCGGATCCAAACAACCAAGTATAGGATGATGTTCATCTGTCAGTCATTCAGTGTCATGGATTCCAATCGGATTCTGCCTGCGACTCCATCCGCCTGCGACTCCATCCGCCCCACTCCACCCCTCCATCCGCCGAAGGGGGTTGGCCCACCTTCGCATTGGCCGCAGTGCCGGACATAGCAAAGGGTCGCCGTGTCGCCATCCTGGACGTCCGATCCTACAGAACAACCCGACCTGGAGTCGACCAGTGAAGTACCTTGGACAATGGGAACAAGTCCGGTGTTTTTGATATGCCAGGACCTTCAGTTCGTGACCTCTTTGGAGTCTGTAAGTGACCTCTAAGACTGCTCCAGGGTAAGCAGCACTTGCCCCATATGGAACCAGCACTTAGAATAATATATGTCATGTAGCCTTTTTTTTTCAAGTGGCCATAAATATGGCTACCTCATCTGGCCCATCTAGCAGCGACAACGAATCTTATGATGGCTATGATGAGTAT